TCCAGTAGTTGTAAGCAGAGAGAATTATGACCCGGGAATTCTGAAGTTTTAGATGGCAGGCCCTACCCCATAGGCAACTGCAGCTGAGATTTTTTTTTTCTAGAAGACAAAATGTTCCTTTGGAAAGAAAGGTGAGGTTAGAAGCCTGTAATTTGGTGGCCCTCGTGGACAGATTCTGTGAGCTCATCCTTGGCTTTTTATGGCCGCTGTATTCAGCCTTGGCCGGTCTCCAGATGCTCAAAGCAGTGATGTTTCTAGGTAGACTTTTGCCAGCAGCTCTGCTACTACATATTTCAATTCATCAGAGCTGACAGCAGGGCCTGAGATCCTAGATTTGCTACACCTCCAGTGCAATGAGGTGCTTTTACCATGCTCGCCTGCTCAGCATCTGCCTCTCATTTTCCCATGCTTGCTTTCTGTCAAATACATTCTCCATCATCTTTCATGTAAAAGGAGGCACTGAAGTCATAGTCCAGGTGTAATGGGCACTAATCCTGGGTGTTCACTATGACACGAAGGTACTAGAATAAGATCCTTTATTCTTACCTCAAATATACTCACTCAGCAAAGTCTGTGTTGCTGACTAAAGGGATTAATTGAGATTCGATGATCTCAGAGACACAAATCTCATATTGTTTTATGTGGCTCACAGATCCATCTCTTGAAAGTATGGGAACTAATAATGCATGTGAAATGTTACTTTGGGACATATTCTAGGCCACTCCCAGGAAATGATGGGTAAGGCCTAAGGAGACACTTCCCTGGGAGTACTAAGGGGTTAACACTGCACCTGAAGGCCTCTGACCCCAGTAGGTCCCGTCCCTCTGAGGAGATCTTCAAGGCAGTCCGATAGATCTGCAGGTTGTTAGAAAGGGAAATCTAAAAAAAAAAAAATGCTGACACAGATGAATTGCATCTCAAGGCAATGAAAACTAGCAAGGTGGGATTGCTAACCATCTGGGAGACATCTCTGTGTTATTGTGGAAGAATGGAAAGTTGCCAGAGGCTCTGGGGAGGTTAATGTTCTCATTTTTCTTGAAAGAGGAAAAAAGGTGGAATTGGGGAAATCTTGACCCATGGCCTTTATATTGATCTTGTCAAAGAATTGTAGAACATGTGACTCCAACAATGATGTGGAAGCATTTTTTTAAAAGAAAGGATGATCTCAGAATCTGTCAGGGATCTGTAAGGACAAATGGCGCCAGACTGTCCTGACTGTCCTTGTTCAGATAGGGTTATTAAGGATGGGTGGTCCAGCAAATCCTGTGAGCATGAGCAGCAGATCTGGTTTTAAGCAGGACATTTCTCTGTGGATCACAGTCATCATTTTGGATGAGGTGATCGTATAAGGAGAAGGTTGTATAAATCTTGAATTGATTCACAAAGTCTGACCTTACAAACCTCTAGCACCTATTTTATTCTGGGAGGTTCAAGTAATTCCTTGAATGGAAATTATCAAGTCATTATTTCCTCTGCACTCCCTTGGTGAACAGTTGGACTTTGGAATCTACTATTCTACCAACATGGTAAGTTTTCTGTGAGATACAACACTGAGGCGTTCTGAACTCATTGTAGAAATGCACCAGAAGAATGTGGGCAATAAAAGTGTTCTATATAAACTGGGTGCTGGTAGCTCACTACTGTAATCCTAACTACTCAGAAGGCTGAGGATTGTGGTTCAAAGCCAGCTTGTGCAGCAAAGTCGATGAAACTCTCTAATTAACCACCAGAAAACCAGAAGTGGAGCTATGGCTCGAAGTGGTAGAGTGCTAACCTTGAGCAAAATAGTCTCAAGGACAACACCTAAGCCCCAAATTCAAGCCCTATGACTCACAAAAGAAAAAAAAATGTTGTATAAGTTTAAATAAGGATATAAGACTGTATCTTAAAGTCCAGTATAGAACTCTATTTTCCATGGAAAATATGCATTGTATATTTACATAATCGTCTCTGATCTCTGTTGAAGGCCTGAGGTGACCATGATTGGTGGGGGTTAGGTAGAAACCAAGTTGTTTCCTGCCAAGTTGTTCTCCTGTGATGGGAGACTTTGCCAAGGGTTCGAAATTAGAACTGCAGGGACGAGGCCTTTTACTCTTGCTACCACTAGAGCCTGCACACGTTTTTGTTTTTACTTTATGGAAGAAGAGTGGGAACTTTTGGATGCTTTTAAAGTCCATAAGCTGTAGCCATTGATCAGAGTTGTATTTTATAAGCTAGATAATGGGTTCCAAACATCAAGGCTTAGGAAAAACAAGTCGAAACATTACAATACAACCCGGTGAGAGTAAATGGAAGTCATAGGAATGAAAGAAGTGGGGAACACAGGAGATATTTGGGAGGTAGATTGCTACTTTTCTGTAATAAGTTGAATGTAAGGAGAGAGAAGGAACATAGAAGGGCTGATTCCCCATTTCTGATTTGGGCTTTTGAGCGGAAAGGGGTGTAACTGTGTCAGTGTGGTACAGAGTATGGAGAAAGGGCAAGGGAGGGATGAGCTTGGTAGTACAGACTCACAGTATCGGACAACAGGGACCTCCTGTGGGCTGACCTACCTGGATGCATGTGTTTGCACCTTAGGAGTGACTTCTGGACTGATACACAGTGCTGTTTGTTTCACTCCATGTATATCTACCAGGGTGTGGTGGTTCTCCCATCCTTCTTTATATGAATTCCTTCCTGAAGTTTTGCTCTGTGGTTGTTTTCCCCCAGCTTTCCCACAGAGCATGGCATCAGGAAGGTCATGTTCTAAACACTTGTAGATGATTGGCCCGGTAAGATCTGGTGATTTTTGTCTATAATAGGTAAAGAGTAGACATACCAGGCATGCTTCATCATTCATCATGGTAGGAGCCTAAGGAATAGAAGTTTTATGAGTATCTCATAAATGGTCATTTTCAGGGCCTGCTCACTTACTTTAGAGAAAAATGTAGTCTTTGAAAGTAGGAGCTTAGACATTATATTCTATAGTCCTGTAAATCACCTGTTTCTCATGCCTGAATGACAAGGGAACAATCCGTACATTTCAGAACTTGATAACATTTTTGAAATCCAACCAGATAGTAGACCTGGCATTTTCCCATTGCTGTCTGGAATCTCCATGTCTAGTGTCTCGGCTCATTCTCTTCCATTATTTACTTTGGCTCCAGAGCTTGGCTTCTTCTTCCAAGTTGTTTGCTTTCCATGTTTACAAAATATAGATGCCTACAACCAAAGACCGGGTGGACAACCAGCCAGGCTACAAGTGCTATTTTTGTCATCCTGGCCTAGGATCAGTTAACCATAATTACTGTTGTTTTATGAGAGCAGCAGAATAACAAGGCAGTGCTAGTTCCTTGCCTCTTCTAATATGCACATGGAATGCACAAATGGGTGCATGCATAGCTACCCTCTGTCATGTTTTACCATAACCCTGTTGCTGGGTTCCATTGGAAGCCAGAGAGGATAATTTTAATAAAATGCAGTGAAAAGTGAATAAACTCCATGTGCTTATTGAGAAGAGACAAGGAGCTGGGTCTGTTAGATATTCTGTAGCTATTTCCATTAGTCTTGTTACTAAATTTATTATTTTATTCATTATTTATCATTATTCATTGTTGTCTTATTATTTATTTGTTTGGCTTATAGAAATGTATTGAAGTGATGGCATGTTTATAATTTTCTGTGCCAGAATATCCAGTCGGCCAGCTGTCTTTCAGTATGTGGACTTCAATCTTGCTGCTGATTTACAGACCCTTCCTTTCATGTTTTCAACACCACAGTTCTTCACTTACAGTTCTCCAACGGAATTCTCTTATGTAGTCCTGGCTGCTGACACTTACACTCCTGGCTTCTAAGTAGATAGGACAGCAGGTTTATCCCAACATACTCAACTTCAATGTTAAATTCCCAATCTTGATTTAAAACTGTGTGCACGGCTTATTGTCAGCTAGATGCTTCATGACTCTCTTCAAGGTCTCTATTCTAGACCCAAGAGCAGGGGGTATAGATAAAAATGTGCATCCAACTGGTAGAAACAATTGGGTAGCCAATTCAGAGGCTACCTAAAGGAAAAGGACTTTAGAATAATTCTTTATTATTTTATTTATTATTACTTTTATTTTTATTTTATTATTATTACCATTATAGGTTTACCACTTCTACTTTCCACCCTGAAATGTCAAGCTTCCCCAAACATGTATGTTTGTCCCCTAGATTGTTTTGCTTTTTTTGGCTTTTGATGGTGCTACTGGGACTTGAACTCAGGGCCTCAGATTTGTTTGGCAGGCACTCTTCCACTTGAGTCAAGCCTCCAGCCCTTTTTCACTTTGGTTATTTTTGAGCTAGGGTCTTGCATTTTTGCTGAGATAGCTTAGATCACAATTCTTCTATTTTCACTTCCCATGTAGCTGAGAGACCCAAGGGTGTGCCATCATATCCAGCTCTTGGTTAGTTGACATGCAGTCTTGCTAAACATTTTTCCATGATCCTCCTGATCTCACCACCTCGTGGGTGGGATTCCAGGTGTTTTCCACTGCACTTGGTCATTTAAACTGTAGACTGGATTTTCTCATGGTGTCACTACTGTCTTTGGGTGTTCGTTAGAATCTTTTTCCTCTGCCTGTTAGAGATTGCCTCTACTCTCTCAGGTTGCTTATAGGACTCTCATCCCACGGAACCCCTCAGTTCCCTAAATCTTTGATTCTTTGGAAGTTTTACTTTGCAGGGGGAAGACTAGCTCTCGAGTTACCCTTCTTCCTAAAACAAGCCCTCCATCCTTCCCAAATTGATTCCTGCAGTGGATTTGGTCTGTTTTGCATCACTGTCAGAAAAATGAGCTCAGGCATTGAACCATCATCAGTGGACTCCAGGCACAGCTGCTTTTCCTCCTCAGGGCCAACTGGGAAGTTTAAGCATCTGCTTGGTTCTCTGAAGGTCTACTATTTTATTTCTAACCCAACCTAATGTTATTCGTATTTTCTTTTCCGCCGTCTCTTTCCTTTCCATTACGCAACATGCTCAAGACGTGGATGAGTGCCTGGAGCCAAACGTCTGCACGAACGGTTCTTGCGCCAACCTCGAAGGATCCTACATGTGCTCATGCCACCGGGGTTACAGCCCAACACCAGACCACAGGCGCTGTCAAGGTAAATGCGGTGATCACACCACCATGTAAGGACAGAGAGACTGGAGATGGGTACTAGTGGCTCGATCCTGTATTCCTACCTGTTTGGTAGGCTGAGAATAGGAAGATTGCAGTTGGAGACCAACCGGGGTAAAAAAGTTCATGAGACCCCTCCCCAACCCGTAGCTGGGCACAGTAGCACATATCTGTCATCCCAAGCTATGTAGAAGGCTGAGATGGGGAGGATTTTGGTGTCAGCCTAATCCCAGCAGAAAAGTTCACGAGATTTCATCTCTGAAGAGGGAAGCTTGTGTGCCATATCACACGCCTGTGATACCAACAACAATGGGAAGCCTAACCCAGGCAGATTGGGGTGCCAGAATAGGAAGTGAGACCCTGTCTGAAAAAATAATCAGCAAGCCTGGGTGCTGGTGGCACCCTAACTACTCAGGAGGTTGAAATCTGAGGACTGTGGTTTGAAGCCAGCCTAGGCAGATGGAGACTCTTATTTCCAATTAACCACCTAGAGGTCAGAAGTGGAGCTGTGGCTCAAGTGATGGAGTACTAGCCCTGAGTATAATGCTTAAGGGACAATCCCTCTGTACATTACCTTGATAATAAAATTAAATTAAAAAATAAGCTAAGGGACAGTGTCAGGCCCTGAGTTTAAGCCCCAGTACTAAAGCACATGTGTACGTGCAAACACACACACACACACACATACACTCACAAATTTAATTAATTAATTAATTAACCAGCAAAAGACAAGGCTGGAGATGTGGCTCACATGGCCAAACATTTCCCTATAGTGCAGAGCTCTGAGTTCATACCTCAGAACTGTCAAAAGAAAGAAAGAAAGAGAAGGAAAGAAAGAAGCAGACACTCATTGGAAGATTTAGTACATGCAGGGATGTGAAAATGAAATCTCTCACAATCTTATTTGAAAATAACTATCTCCTGGATACTATATGTAAAAATGCACAATTTTCACCAATTTCTTGCCAGTTATATATTACAAGCATTTTGTAGCCCACTAATAACTCTTCAAGCTTTATTTTTTTTGTCTTTTTCTTTTTTGGTACTGGGGATTGAACCCAGGACGTTGCACTTGCTAGGCAAGTGCTTTGCCACTGAGCTACATCCCAGCCCTTCAAGCTTTATTTTTAAATACAATGTGTTGCCACACTGTGGTTTACTTGCTATTCTTTATGAGTAAGCATAGTTTTCCAACATCTCATTATTCTATGGAAAATGTTTTAACAGACAATTTCTCTATTCATAAAAGTAAAATTATTGGCCATAATGTTTTGAATTTTTTATTATTTAAATTGGGACATCCATTTTTGGGGAGACATCCATTTCTAATACATATTCTTTAAATGCATTTTTTGTATTTAAATCTTTTAATGCATAATTAATCTTTTAATGTATTTTCTTTAAATCCTAAAAGTTTTAATATTAATTTATATGCTTATTTCACTTAGTAGATCTCTAGATCTTAAGAGTTATCAAATGCTTATTTCACATGGGTTTATTAACCATTTAGTGTGTTTCTTCTTTTGTAAATTTATCAGTTTTTTAACTCTTTAGATCTGTATATGACCTCTATCTGTGATACTTACGTAAGTTTTCCCACATGTTCATATGTCATTTATACCTTTCTTTGTGGTACCTTGTTGTAATTTGTTGATGGTGTCCCTAATGTTTCTTTCTAATTATTTTTAATGTTCTACTTCTTTCTTATGATCAAATAATTGGTTGCTTTCTCTTTGCTAAATATGCTAAAAAGCATATTTAAATTTTCCTTCTTTCCTAAATCCATGTTGCAGTATAAGTGGAGGAGTTAAGGAGATAACCCCCATGGTAGCAGAAAAGTAATAAATGAGCATCCTGGTGTTCTGTAAGAGTGGGCACCTCCCACTGTGAGTAAGGAATTCAATGGTACCTACACGCACCTGCTGCTTTTATTCATGAAAGATGCCTGCTTCGAGGAGAATACCTGCACTATCATGTTTTCTACAATATCTCTGTTTTCTTCTAGTTCTTTCTCTCTAGGCACATATCTGCAGCTTTCCTCCTAATTCCTTAAGCACTCATCTCAGACCAAAACCCATAACTCTAGTCCAATCATGAGGAAGACAGACAGAAACAGCTCAGGGCAAAGAGTCTACAGAATTATGGGCTCCTCTTCTTAAGTCATAAAAAGTAGAGGAAGGCCAACTGGGCAAACAGGACAGCTAGATGATTCAGTCCAGTAGAACCCTGGACTGGATCTTAGAGCAGAAGGAGGACATGATTGGAAAAACCCATGAAGTCACCGGGTGCCAATGGCTCATGCCTACTATAATCCTCGCTGCTTAGGAGGATAAGAGCTGAGGAGCGAAGCCAGTCTTGGGCAGCAAAGTTCATATCTCTAGTTATCTCTAGACTCTTAGCTCAAGTTCACCACCAAAAACTATAAGTAGAGCTGTGGGACAAGTGGTAGAGTTCTAGGGTTGAGCACTAAAGCTCAGGGACAGCACCCAAGCCTTGAGTTGAAGTCCCAGGACTGGCACCAAAAACAAACAAACAAACAAAATTCATGAAGTCTGAGTAAGTCCAGAGGTTTAACTTGGGGGGAAAGCTGGGACCAGGGGATTTAGCTCAGCTGCGGAGGACACATCCCACCACTATACAGAACCAAACACCAGATCTTAGCTCTCCCACCTGGAAGCTGTTCATGCTTAGAAAGTCAGCTTACTCCCCTGAGCTCCACGGCGCTCATCTGCGGATGGAACTACAATGGTCCCTACCAGGGTCAGCGTGGGGACTGTGGAAGATGATGGGGCGGGGTGGGGGTGGTGAGGTAGTGAGAGGAGAATGGGCTACCATGAGGGCAGAGTGTGACACATGATAGCAGCGTGGCTGTGACATTAGGAGTGTGAATGAAGTCTGGTTACCACCAAGAAGTACATTCTGCTTGTGTGCATCTGGCAAAGGGTCCCAGGGGTATTGCAGTTTAAACTTGGTCTTGAAACGCTGAACACAAAAGCAGAAAGACTTTGCATGCAGAACACACAACACATGACAAGACTTGGAGGTAGGAAAGGATTGTTGTCTTCCATAGATGAAAGGAAGAAAGGGAGGGAGTAGAGAACATGGATGGATTCTCCTATTCTCCTAGTTCGTTCTTTCTTCCTTTCTTCCTTTCTTTTGGCTTGAACTCTGGGCCTGGGCGCTGTCCCTGAGCTCTTCAGCTCAAGGCTAGCGCTCTACCACTTGAGCCACAGTGCCACTTCTGGTTTTCTGTTGCTTAATTGGAGATAAGCATCTCATGGACTTTCCTACCCAGGCTGGCTTTAAAACATGAACCTCAAATCTCAGCCTGGTGAGTAGCTAGGATTACAGGTGTGAGCCACTGGCGCCTGGCTGGATTCTCTGATTTCTAATGGTGTCTCCCATTACAGTGAGGGATAAGAGGACATGGCTTTGGAATCCTATCTATAGACTAAATACTTGCTTAATTCCCCTATCTAATTCCACCTTTCCATATTAATAACATCTTCTTTAAATTTTTCATCATCCCTTCTCAAACCACAGTCCATGGTTGTCAAACTTAATCCAGATCATAAATTGGTCACTTTTCCAGTATCATATCGACTCTGCTGGTCTAACCTTGGTAGTCCTTAACATAAACTTTGCCTTCACCTCATTAATCGTACTAGTGACTTTTTTCAAACTGTAAACATATTATTTACAGTATTTACTCATTATGGCTTCTTTCTCTTAAAATGATTTTTATCTGCACATCTTTACCATTGTATGTTCTCAATTTATAAATACCTAGAGATAGGCTGTTTTATCTCTGAGCTCTAAATTTGCTTCCAGTCACACAGAGAGTTGAATGTTTTTTATTTGTCCTTTGGCACAAAAAGGAAAGAAGACATTTGTCCTGCTTGCCTTGAATATTTTTGTTTAGAAAACTTTCCAATTCCTCCCAAAGAAGAATTCTGTCCCTTATTAGAAAAGAAAAATACTGGGCTTGGAATATGGCTTAGTGGTAGAATGCTTGCCTAGCATGCATGAAGCCCTGAGTTTGATTCCTCAGTACCATATAAACAGAAAAATCCAGAAGGGGTACTGTGGCTCAAGTGGTAGAGTGCTAGACTTGAACAAAAATGCTCAGGGACAGTGCCCAGGCCCTGTGTTCAAGCCCCCAGGACTGGAAAAAGAAAGAAAGAAAAGAAAAATACTTTGTAGCTTTAGAATTGAGCTTCTTCTCTATACCTCTGTGGTCATTTTGAAGACACAGAGATCACCTTATTGCTCAGAAATCCAGTGGTACCCAGGTCATTCCCAGGGTGAGTGTCATTAATCATAAATGACTCCTGACAGGCTCCCCGCAGGCATGAGTCACTAGGTATGGTGCCTGATCTGTGCGGACAGTACTTGGATGGTGCAGTCTTGCTGGAGACATCTGCACGTGGGAATATTTAACACGTCGTCTTTCATGGGAAGGACAGAGGGGATCCAGAGTCAGATCTTCTGTGAGATTCAAACAGCTACAAGAGCTGTGCTTGCCCTCAAATTTGTGAACTGACACCTTGAGCACATCTTAGGATATGTTAAAAATATAATGGGAGCGAATCTCTGTTAACAACACTTTTCAAACCTAATAATAATAGTTTTACAATATCAGAAAGGTGTGAAATGTTTGGTAAGATGAAATTTCACTTAATTATTGTATTTATCTATGGACAACCAGTAATTGTTTGTGAGTAAAAGAGACAATAACACATTCAATGCTTCTAGTTCACTAAGTGAATGTTGTGAAAAGATGTAAGGAAAATAAGAAGGAACAGTTGTGCTCCAGTTACATTAATAGTTTGTGCAAGCTATTTTGGGAAACTCAGAATAATTTGATGTGTTGCTTTTCTCAAGATGAAATTCAAAAGATTAATACCTCATTTGAGGTTAAGAAATACAACTTGGCTCCAAAAATAGATAATTGTCAGTAATACTTGAGGGAAAAGGCTGGAGAGTAGATGAATTTTCCTGGCAAAAAGAAGTTTTTAGATGCATGTTAAATAAGATATTTTTAGAAGAAAACAACAGTTGTACATTGATCTTGAGGAAATAGTTTCTTTAAAACATTACTCATTTTATTTATTATTCCATTTGGATTTCTTTTCTGTGAGCATGGGCCCAGTGTGTTTTACGTCTTTTCCTGTGATCGTCCCGTGTGCTTGTAATGCAGAACACTCCTATCATATTTTAATGACAAACTCTTATAAATTAGCTAGCTAGCCCTCGGATCATGCTAAAATCGCTTCTGCCCACACCAGGCAAATCACAGTTCTCTAATAAGGACAGAACATGCCAGTCCTGGGACTTCAACTCAAGGCTTGGGTGCTGTCCCTGAGCAATTATTTGGAAAAGTAACTATAGCTGGGTATTGGTGACTCACGCCTGTGATCCAAACTACTCTGGAGGCTGGGACTTGAGGATTGTGGTTTGAGGCCAGTCCAGGAAGGAAAATCTGTGAGACTCTTATCTTCAGTTAAACACCAAAAAAAAGGCAGGAAGTGGAGCTGTGGCTCAAGTGGTAGAGCACTAGCTCTATGCCCAGGCCCAGAGTTCAAGCCCCATGACTGACTAGAAAAAAAAAAGTAACTGTAATGTTACCAGAAGTGTTCAAGTTCAGTGAAGACCTTTTTTTTAAAAAAAAAACTTAGCCTTCTTCCTCTGTACTTGTATCACATCCCCGCCATTGTTCTTGGTTGTGTTTGTTACGCTGTGAAGAAGCTTCATGTTATCCACTGCAGCTCACTAATATCCTAGTTCAACTTCTAAAGAAAGTAGAAATGTCTCTACTTCCTTTTTTGACTTGCCTATACATTGGGATTCTTTTTTTTTTCTTTTTTGCCAGTCTTGAGGCTTGAACTCAGGGCCTGACCATTATCCTTGAGTTTTTTAGCTCAAGGCTAACACTATACCACTTGACTAACAGCTCAACTTCTGGCTTTTTGTGATTAATTGGAGATAAGAGTCTCATGGACTTTACTGCAATCCTCCGTCCTCAGCCTCCTGCGTAGCTAGGATTACAGGTGTGAGCCACTGGCACCTGGCATGTTTTTTAAAATCTTGATACTTTTTGCCTTTTATGTATCTCTGCAGGTCTACAGAGACTTCCTGGAAGCCATTGTTTTATGCTTCAGGTTCTGTTTTCATAGCGTGTTTCTATCCAAAGTCTGAAGGAGAAAAGGCTTCCCTTCTTGGTGTTATGTCAGAAGTAGTTTTTACTTAGAAGTTTATTGCTTATTTGAAATTATTTCTTTTCTACATCTAACCAAACTGTGGTTGGCCCAAGCTACACTGACATATCTGACAATTGATAGTTTCAAAAGAAGCACTATGATTTCTGTGACAGTAATCCCAGAATGCACTGCAGATAGCATATTCAATTTAAGAGTCTCTTTCTCAAAACAGCTGACCTTATTTGTGTTAACAGATATTGATGAATGCCAGCAAGGGAACCTCTGCATGAATGGGCAATGCAAGAACACAGATGGCTCCTTCCGCTGCACCTGTGGCCAGGGCTACCAGCTGTCGGCAGCTGAAGACCAGTGTGAAGGTAGGAGTGTGGTTGTGTGAGCTACTGAGATTTCATTCTAAGGTACTTAGTCTGAAAATTGGTAGATTCCATAAGATGAGTGTGCTAGTTCCATCCTACTTAAATAATGTATTACAGTGCCAGAAAACCAATGAATTAAGCAAAAGCAAGGCAAATCAGTAACAGAAAATGAAAGTGAAATTTGAAAACTACGGCACTGGATTCTGTATGTAATTCTTTACTACAGAAAGTAATTTCCACTTACATGTTTAAATTCATTTAACGGTTTTATCGACTGACACTCCTGCAAATACAAAGTCATTATATTGGGTTGGAGATTATGCCGTGGAATGTTCATGATTTTATTTTTGTGTTTACTTAGCTTTAACTTTTTTATTTTGCCTTTTTGTTGGATGCTCTGAAGATGGCTTTTCAGTGAGATTGAAATAGTGTCTCCTTTGCCTTTAGAGATAGTTTGCTGAAATGTGTCATGTTATTTTAGCTTAATAGTGAAAACTCTGGAGTTCTAGGATAGACTTTTTAATCTAAGTTTATTAAGTAATTGTACAAGGAGGCTACAATTCTGTAAGTCAGGTTATGAGACAATGCGTTTTGATCAATGTTACCCTTCCATTGTTTTCTCCCTATTTCCCCCCTTCACCCCAACCTGTAAGTTACGTAGTTCAACTTTGGGATTGACTTTTTGAAAACATTTTTCAATGAATTTCAGAGAGAAATACTTCCCTTCCCATCTGTTACAGACACAAGTGTCCAGTGTTCTTGAAAAGAAAATGTCATGGAACCAAATCATAATCATATCTGTTTGTAAATTTCAAATGTTTAAATGAGCAGAAATACTATCCCAGGGTATCACTGTAAGGGGCAGAATAGGAGCTAATCATGAAAGCATCCTTACTGAGCCTTCCTCCTTTTCCTTTTCTAGAGCACAGACTTTTTCTCATACCAGATCTGGAAGTGGAAAATGATAAAACACACAGGCACATGTAATACATGCAGTGATAATGCCAGTGTGTGCACAGACAGATCAAGCACACTGCTCTAGATTTGAATCCCCGCCAACATTTTTACCTTTATTTTATTTCTCCTGATCTCATGTACCTCAGTATTTACAAATGATTACTACTTTGTCTAGGAAAATGCAAATTAATGGATAAGTGATCTACCTCTAATATTAACAGGCTATAATGGTCACAGCCTTCTCTTTCAAAAAGTCAGAACCACTCACGAGTACTAGACTGGGTGTGCTGGTCTATGCTTATAATACCAGTTATTTGGGAGGCAGAGATAGGAGGATTTTGTTTTGTGGCAGGATGGATGGAGAGGAAATACAATCATAGTACTCAATATTCAAATGTGAAAATGGAATTATGAAATCTTAGGAACTGAATAGGAATAAAGAGGAGGAGACTGAAGGAAGGGCTGACACAGATCAAGACTGTATACATAAGTGGACATGTTAAAGTCAAACCCTTTTAAAAAAAAATGAAACTCCAAAAACAAAAGGACTAGGGATGTTGTTCAAGTTGTAGAATATATAGTGTAAGATCTTAAATTTAATTCCCAGTATCCCCCCTGCAAAAAAAAAAAGCAGCAACACCATATTAGGTACCAAATGCAGTGATACTGAAACTGTGACCAGAGAAGAGGAGAGTGGGCACTAATTCAGGTCCCTGTGTGGGCTTACAGAATCAAACAATTAGTAAGTAGGTGTTCAGAATTGGTAGTGTCCCTCAGCAGACAATATGAATTGAATGCCTCCTTGTGAAACATTGGGTTATCTAAGGAGTAATAAATTATATTATTGTAGGCATTAATTCCTGCCCTCAAAAAATCCAATCATCAAGGTACAATCATTGAATTTATATAGTATGTTTTTGCCACCTATATGTATGCATGATACATACCATGTAAATCTGAACTCAGAGTGATGTGAAGGAAACAGATGAGGGGATTGAGTGGGGAGCATTGAAGAAAAGTGACTAGTGGTGATAAGGAATAGCCAATGGAAAGAGAAGGGGAAAGACCACCAGCTTGGACCAGAAGATCGTTGTTGTTAGAACAGGGAGAATGAATGGGAATGAATGGCTGAATACAGAAGACCATTCACAAGGAGACCAACTGGTAAAATTGGTAAAGGAAATGAAGACAAATGCTGTAATACTTTGGGTCAAGCACTGGCAAACCTTTTCTGAGAAGGGCCAGATAGTGATTGGATATGTATTATGTTTTCCAATAAAACTTTATAATAATCAACAATGGACTAGATTTGACCAATGAGCAATATTTTTCTGACTCATGCTTTAGACTACTACAGGACTATGTGCTTTTATATCCAGAGCGCTGTAGTTGATCTATTTTGAAAAACACAAGAAGCTGGAATGAGAGTCACAGATTATAGCAATGTACTTGCTACTCCTGAGAGTTAATAGCAGAAGCAATGTATATGGATTCCTAATTCGTAGTTTTTTTTTTTTCAATGCTGTTGCTGGGATTGAACTCAGGACCTCACACTGTCTTTTAGCTTTTTCACTCAAGGCTAGTACTCTACCACTTGAGTAACAGCTCCACTTGTGGCTTTTTTTTTTGTCGGTCGTGAGGCTTGAACTCTGGGCCTGGGCGTTGTCCCTCAGCTCTTCAGCTCAAGGCGAGAGCTCTACCACTTGAGCTACAGCGCCACTTCCGGTTTTCTGGTGGTTTATTGGAGATAGGAGTCTCGCAGTCTCTCCTGCCTGAGCTGGCTTTGAACCGCGATCCTCAGATCTCAGCCTCCTGAGTAGCTAGGATTACAGGCGTGAGCCACCAGCGCCCGGCTCACTTGTGGCTTTTTACTGGTTAATTGGAAGTAAGAGTCATAGACTTTCCTACCTAGGTTGGCTTTGATGGGAGATCCTCAGATCTCAGCTTCCTTAGTAACTAACACTATAGACCGAACCATCAGTGCTTGGCTCATTGGATGAAATTTTAAGTTCATCTTTACTACTGGGGAGTTACCTTCACATTGAGGTCAGTTTAAGCTACATAGTAAAAGCTCTTGTTTAATTTCCATGTACATCAGAGAGATTATAGACACCCTCCTTCATGCAGCTGACTGAGTATACCCTCTCCGTGCTCTATTGTTGCAGATATTGATGAATGCCAGTACCGGCACCTGTGCACTCACGGGCAATGCAGGAACACAGAAGGTTCCTTCCAGTGCGTGTGTGACCAGGGCTACAGAGCGTCAGTGCTCGGAGACCACTGTGAAGGTGAGAACTGCGCCTGGCTTCAGAACCACAGAGTGACAGGATTTGAAAGCAACCGGAGTTGCTTTTCAGTCCATCATTTCAACCTTTAACCCCAGAGTTGAAGATGGCGGATCCCTGCAAAGTATTTTTCCCGGGGCCACATAACTAAGACCAAAGAAGGGAACAGAATCCAGATATTCTTTGCACTGCTTGGATCTGCCTTTTAGAAGGGAGGCACCAAAGGGGCTGAAGAACCAGTTTCCCTGTACCAGTTACCCATCATTTATTTGGGGTGAAGTTCTGTAGTATGACACTTCATATATGTAGAAGAATGTTTCCAATAAGTAAACACAACTTCATTTTCCTGACAACTGGATGCTTTAGGCTTTGTTTATTCATTTTCGGGCAATACCAGACCAAATGACAACAAAAAAATAAAACCCAAAACTCAGAGAAGGTGCTCTACCACTTGAGATGTATCTCCAGCCTGACTTTTTCTCACAGACTCTCTTGCCTGGGCTAGCTTCAAACAGTGATCCTTTAGATTTCTGACTCCTGGGTAACTAGGATTGCAGATGTGAGCCACTGGTGCCCAACACCTAGAAGATTTTGAAGAACTGTTTTGTGTGTGTGTTCCTCTGAGGCACCCTCCCCGCAGCTGCACAGCAATATTGTACAGTTATTAACCACGTCTTAACTTTAAACTCTCAACATATGGGTAGATGCTAATGACACAACTCATGTACTGGCATGCTGAGGTAAAGGGTCAGTTGGTGTGGAGCCCGTCATGGAAACAACTGTTAGAAGAGAGTAGAGGAAGGTATATGCTGAGGTGCTGAAAATCTACACTGACCCTCGGATGACTCTTCTACACCGATTCTCAATCAAGTCAAGACGGGGTCACAAGGCCACTGCTGGTGACTGTCAAGGCTCCGTGCATGATAGTGAATGCCACCGAGGATGTTTTCCCTTTAATACTTAGAAGTGAGGAAGTTGGGGACCAGCAAAGGGGACAAGAGGAGGAACTGCTTGGAAGGTAGATAGAGATCTTGCAAAAATGGTTAGACTAAACTTGACACTAACCATGTATACCATTTAAAAACCTATACAGTCATTTATAAATACTTAAGGTAGTGCTGCTTTTCTTGCATTCCGTCACCCCATAGATATGGGGAAATGGATGGCAATAAAATCACTTGATAGTAGTAGTGTTGGAGTTGGCCTGTCTCTTGTAACAAATATATGACCCTTTATTAAAGCTCATGGCTACAAGACACATATCTTCAGGTCAGTGTTGCTTGCTTGCTGAAAGCCAGGTTCTGATGGTCTCGATGTGTTTTGAATTGAGATTTTTAAAAAGGATATAAAGCTGGTGATCAAGTAGCCCCTTCCTACTTGGTTATCTCCATTTCCTAAGGGGCAAAGAAAGAAAGATGCATCTCAGATCTGATCTACTATGCACCCAGAAGCTTGGTTATGGAGTTACTAGAATTAATATACAACTTCTCCACTGCTGGTGGGAATGTGAAGTGATGCAGCCTCTTTAGAAAACATATGAACATAGGTGTGTTGTATGCACTATCCATGTAGAGAATTTCATGAGGTAAATGACAGCATATGTTTACACGAAGACAAAAACATATGAGTATTTGTAAAGTCAGTATCATAGCCAAAGTGGAACAGCCCACATTGCTCATGGAAAAACAAAGTGTTAAATCATTGTGGTATATCCAAACCATGAAACATTATGCAGACACCAAGTGGAGTGAACCATAATGGTGCACAGATAGTGAATCTTAGAAATGTGATGTCGAGATAACGATGCATAACACAAGAGATATAGCTAAGATGATGTAGGGGTCTCTAACCTTAGCCATGACAGTGGTCACAAGAATGTGTGTTCAAATGCTAAAGCTCTTTGAATATAGCTCAAAGTAAATACACTTCTTGGATGGAGACTGTAATTCAGTGAAGTTGGGAAAACTCATGAACAGAAAGGCATTGAGTTGATTTATTTGATATAGTCACATCAGTTTGTATTTGAGGGTACCAGCACTCAGACCATTTTAAATCATATTAATGTGTTTTTGTGGTAGTGGAAGGAAGGGTAAGATGTTCCCCTAGTCCTCTGTCTGTCCTGTGACTAGTACAGTAGTGAGTTCACTGGGTGGATGGGAGTCAGTGAGGAATCTTTAATCCAACATCATGTGAACCAGACAGCAAGGAGGATAAACAGACCACAACCGTGTCCGTGTTCACGTCTTCCTGGAAGTTCTCACGGATTTTAGCAGCCATCATAATTATTTGCAAGAAATGTTGTAGCCTGCCAAAGTCTGAGAAGACAGAGCAAGTTTTGTTCTTTGTCTTTCTTCGGGGCTAATTATCGAAATTCTGCACAGACACACAGCCCATGGAAGGGGGGACTCATGGAGTGTGTTAGAATTAATGAGTTCTGACTAGGGGACAATGCGGTAATAAGCAGCCCCTGGGAAAAACTTGCCTGGTGAGTGGGCCATCATTAATTGTGTCCAGTGCTCATTCTTCCGTACAGAAACCACTTTTAGTTACACACAGGCTCTGTAATATAGTCACTGAAAACAAACCCATATGACACTGTTAGGGACAGCCACTGGATGACTTCAACTTAATTTGGGGCCATGTTGGATTCCTTTTCTCCAGGCATCCCTCTATCTCTCTCTATTCTGTTCTGTTGCCAAGACTTTAAGTCCATTCCTACTGTTTACAGGAAGCCGTTTGTTTTAATCTTTGTATCTTTTCTCTCAATTCCTGTGACCTCTAAAATCAGTACCAGTTTTTGGTCAAGTAATTATCATTTCTGTCAGCTCTTATGTGAATTTCTTCTGAACTTACAATGCAATTTGACATTTTATGTGTTTATTTTTATTAATACAATTTATTTTCTTAAAGAAACATTTCTTTTTCACGATGAAGACCTTGCCAAGCACTTTTTAAATGTTTTTTTTTCCAATTAATTGGATTTGATGTTTGACACTTCAGTGTAGTATTTGGGAAGCTGAGTTGGGAGGAATTCAAAGCCCATCTCGGCTTCCATAGCAAGTGAGAACCTATGTCAACAAAACAAATAAAACTTCTGTGCATTATTTAAATCTATGGTCCTGTCAGAATGCTTTGTTTCCTTCTATTTTATTTTTCTTTTATCTTTATGTAGTTACACAGAGGAGTTTCCATTTAACAAAGCAGTTTATGAATATAATATATCTTGATCAATGTCACCCCGTTCAACATTCTCACCCATCCATCACCTACGCACCCAATCCCTCGCTTTTAATTTTGTAGGATAGACATTGGGTTCCTGACTGCATTCTCCTGAATGAAGTGCAGCATGTTTTATTTTGAGGAAAATTCTAAAACTAACAAGCTCTGTCCTCTATTGAAAATGATATATTATGAATGATACAAGAAAATGAACATTTAAGGGATTTTGGGGGGGTGTAATGATAAGAAAGCAATGTCTAATCTTTGTTTTATAGTTTAATTTGTAAAAAAATATTTGAATTGGTTTGTAGATATCAACGAATGCTTGGAGGATAAGAGTGTTTGCCAGGGTGGGGACTGCATTAATACTCCAGGGTCCTATGACTGCACCTGCCCAGCTGGCTTCCAGATAAACGACAATAGACAATGTCAAGGTACTGCTCTCCCACTCTTTTGCTTTCTCAGACATTACTGATGTCATTCTTCAATTATCTATGCTGCTATATATATGTGTGTGTGAATACATGCATATATATTTGGAAGTACTAGGGTTTGAACTCAGGGCTTATGTTTGCTAGGTAGGTGTTCTACCACTTGAGCCCCATGCTCCTAGTCCTTTCTTTTGCTTTATTTTTGAGGTAGGATTGTTTGGGATTTTGTTTGTTGCCTTGGTTGTTTGGTTTGTTTTTGCCCAGAGATGGCTTTGGACAACAACTCTCTTACCTAAGCACTTCTGTATCTGACTTAATGGTGATGGAATCTCAGTGTGCCCAGGCTTATGTTAAACCATCATCCTCCTGATCTCTGCCTCTCAAGTAACCCATTTTGTATTATTAAGGTAGGACTAGGGCATGGCTCAAGTGATAAAGCACCTGCCTGGCTAGTGTGAGACCCTGAGTCCAAACACCAGGACTGCCCTTCCCTCCCCCAAAAAAGAAAGAAAGAAAACAAAAAAAGGAAAAAAAGGAAGGAAGGAAGGAAGGGAAAGGAGGGAGGAAGGAAAAGGAGGAAGGAAGAACAAGGGTAATAATACTCTGAAGTATCTTTCTTAAGTCTGCATCAGGTATAGGAAGGTTTTGCTTGAACAGAAACATGTTAATCAAGCTCATGCCTGTCAGAACCCTGGCCTGGCTTTGTATGGTTCTAATAAAATTACCTGTACTAGATTGTTCTTTTCATGGGCCAACCTTGGACTGGATTATAAATTATCTTTCTAGCTTTCTATGGCCTAGCCTTTATGGATGAATTTCATTTTGCCCCAAAAGTAATATTGGCCTTCTTCCGAATCCCTGTTCTTATCCAGTACCCACAATTCCTTTAGCGCTTCCTAACATGCTTTACCAGTAATTTAAATAAAATTAGAGAGACAAGATTATATATTTCTTCCATGTGCTACCAGCATTTATTCTCCAAAACAGCAGTACAAGTGTGCCTCAAACTACTATTAAATAAAAGATTGTTTGAGATATTCTTTATACATTTCTATTGAACACAAATAGCTTTTTAAAGATAATGAATTGCCATAAAATATACCTGCTCTTGTGTGTCCTGGATTATCATGTCTTAGAAGAAGATGAGCTTATTATATAAGATGGATATTAAAATAATGTATCACTATCTATGTCTGTACATCACAGAGATGTGAATGATGTGGACCCAGGAATTGCAGAACAATACAACCTAGGTCCTAAGCGGGCCATTCACAATAACTTAACTGAATACCTACTATGTGCTGAGTACTATTGGTACTTCTTTTAATTCTTGCAGCAGTTTAAGAGGTACCTTTTTCTGCATTCATTTTGTCCTGAGTAACTGCTCAAAAAAGTTAATCAGCAAGTTCTTCTTTAATAAAGAGTAGAGAGGGGCTGGGAAGGTGGCTCAGTGGTAGAGCTCTTGCTTTGCATGCTCAAGGCCCTGGGTTCGATTCCTCAGCACCACATAAGCAAAAAGAAAAAAGCCGGAAGTGGCACTGTGGCTCAAGTGGTAGAGCGCTAGCCTTGAGCTGAAGAGCTGAGGGACAGCGCCCAGGCCCGGCTTTCGGCCCCACGACCGGACCCAAAAAAAATAAAATAAAATAAAATAAAGAGTAGAGAGGAAATTTTATTTTCTCACTGATCTCAAGATTAAATGTTCTATAAGAGAAATTGATATATATTTCCTTGCATATACAATGAGAGATATTAATATCTAGATACATTGATATGTTTCTTTGCTACCAAAATGCAGTGAGTTTAAAATTTTCAACTTTCCCAGTATAGAAATGAAATGTGCTTTAATTTTAGGCAGTAGAAAAGAAACACTTGAACTGTACATTTCTGTGAGAACATTTCCATTTGGGGACTTTAAACAAGATTAATCTTGATTTATATAAAAATGCCAAGAGATGAAAAAAATACTCCAAAACTAGGAAACCTGAATCCTGGTTTTTATTATAGGCTTTTTGGCTTAAAAGTGATATTTTCTTTTCTAATTCCTTTGGCCAACTAAAGGTAAAACCATGTCTTCATATAAATGAACCAAGCTTTCATATTGCAGTTTCTGTTATTTAACTTTTAACTTGCCTGGAGCTAACTTGGTCATCTGATGTACTGTGTTCTCCCAGTACATTGAACTGTGTGTCTATTTGTGGTTGATATAGATTCCTAAATATGACTGCACCAAAAATATGTGCCTTTACTGCTATCAGTCGCTAATAAGTTGACTTCATTCTGTCACATTTATTATCCTATTTTCCAGAATAAAATACCATGTCAGTTTGAAAACTGTGTGTCCAAATAAATGATAGGCATCAATGAGAAAGTTCTTAGTGCTGTTGGAATAGTAATGGGTCTATGCATTGGGCCTGGTAAATTGCCAGTGATCACAGTCATTTGGGAGCCAGATATAGGAGGATTGCAAGTGTGAGCCCAATCTAGGCCAAGTTAGAAAGACTATCTCAAAAAACAAATTTGAAAAAAAGACTGGAGGTGTAGCTCGAGTGGCCAAGTGTGAGGCCCTAGGTTCAATCCCCAGTACAACAGGGGGAAAAAAGAAAGGAAAATTGACCTTTATGGATTATTTCATCACCTACACCCTGTCCTTGCTTTGAAGGTCTCTATTTGCTCTATCACTCAAGGCGGATTTGTCGGTTCCACATTGTTTGGAGATAGTAGCCTACTTTTCTCTAATCCTATGACTCTGTCAGCATTCTGGAGATACGTGCAGATTTCAGAGTTGGTTTTCATACTGAAGCTGTAATTGATGGCTGTGTTAATAACCCTGCCACATGTTTGAGGAACCATGTGTGTCAGGCCTTGCCCAATATGCAGAGGATAGTTCCAGTCACAAGTGTGTTTAAGATTTTCTTTGCCCCGAGAAACTCATGATGATGTGCAGACAGTATGGAAAGTCCGTGTTAATAGTCTCTTTAGGAATGTGGCAGCATACATCGGAGATTCGGAACACACTTCAGTTTCACGTTTTGACTTACATATGCCAAATGGTGAATTTCTGTGGAATCTCGGACCCATGAAAAAAACCCAACTCAAATAGAGTCTGGCTTACGGCTCGGAGTTACTAGCTGCATAGCTGAGAAATGCTTCAATAAGTGCAATCCAAATTGAATGCATATGTTTCTCTGGGTCCAGAGACTCATGTTGTTCTTTCTTAGCAGTTTCCTGGAAAAAAGTCTGGGAATTTGTCTTCAGTTTCTGTCATCAAACTTTTTAGACAGTTATTTGTTAATCAATGACTTCTTTCTTTTTTAGACTTTTTTTTTAAAGCATACATTAAAAGTACAAGGGGTTTCATTGTGATAATTCCATAGACGCATATAGTGTTCTTTGAGCAAGTTCACCCGCTCTGTTATATTCCCGTAATTCCTCTCCCTTAAAGGACTTCTTTTGTAGTGAGAATTTTGTGCACATACCTCCCCGTGCACTTACAAGGCAGGTAGTTTTTAAAGGACAACGTTGAAACACAGGTTCAAATAAGAAGGAAGTGTTGAAAGTCATCAGGTTGAAAAGATGAATGTATGTATGTACATATGTATATGACATAGCAAGTTTCTGGGCACCATTTGCCCAGATGGAGGTAACTCAAAATAGCAAGCTGGAAGAAAGAATAGAACTGAAGACAGGAGGAGATCAGAATTCATATTGCCAATCTAATGGGTTTTCAGTAGATAGAGAACAAGCAGCAGAGGTTTTGCAAAGGAAGTGATGAATTTCATAGGGTAAACTCACGTTGGCAAACAGCTAAGTGGGAAATGATTCCTTGTTCTTCCCTGAGCTACCCAGAAAGAGTGATAATAACAAGAAATGGAGACTTGTTAACAAAACAGATATTATTCCTGCTTAGTTTGTTATTTAAACTCAGTGGTAGGTAGGCCAAGTAATATGAATGACATGGCAGATGGGAGGGTGGAGAGCTAAGAATTGAGAAAGAGAGGTGGATAAATCATCAATTGCCAGGATTTCTGTTGCACAATGAAGGCAACAGGGTGAGAAGAGAATCCCCAAGGAATTCTGGATACCACAGAGAGGGGTGACTTTATTGAAGAAGGGACCACAGTGTTGATGGCTCTACTTGATCGAGAAGTTGCTAGAGTAAACTCATGATCTGTGCCCCTTCTGGGATTTCAGTAAGCATTTTAGTTGTTCATGGGTCTCCACTGCTCTGATGTGGGCCTCTCATTGTCCAGAGCTATGTGCTCATTTTTTGTTAACTAAGAGAACCTGTACAGACTACTTTTAATTAGTAGAGAAGGAATATAACTGAAAATGTGGTGGGGCATGGCCAGTCATCAGATACTATTGATATAGAGCAGCATGGATTGAGAACTGAGACCACCCACTGGAGGCTTGGCATTGTGTATAGGGAAGTATTCTTTAGGGTCCTTGGGCTGTAATCTTGGGCATGGTTAGCCAACATAATTAGAACTGGTTTGAATGAACATGTCACTTACATCAAGATCTCTGTGTGTTTAGAGAAGCCTTATGCCCCTTACCTCAGGAAACATTTACATTGAGGACAAGCAGAGCATGAGATGTTCATACAAAGTCATCTCTCACCTGATCTATTCATAAGTCTTCATAATAATGGCTGCTATGTTTTAGTTACAGGTTAAGCTCTGGGCCTTATCCTTTACCCATAAATTTAATTATCACAGAACCATACAAATACATACTTCTCTGGTCTTAAAGGCCTTCTTTTTCTTGTATGTTATTTCTATTAGCCCATTTCCAATGAAATACAAAGTCTACCTCACATACTGATTCAGATGCTTATGAGTCAAATACTGTCACTAAGAACGTTCTGTCTTATCCTTAGGAAGTCTATGTCCAGTGGAGAGGCGGGATGTGACAGGGCTGTGGCAGAGCTATGAGGGACATTGGGAGGGGACAGAGAACACTGTTCTCCTTGATGAGAATTCTTCCAAGTTTAATCCAGTGTCGTTAAGCTTCCAATGCACATAAAATAAGGGCAGCCTTGGGTAGAGCCTTCGTCTGTAGAAATGGTTGAACATTGGCTATTTTATAGATGTCACCTTGTAAAGAGGTTCGGTCTCATGGCAATTGAACTTCTCCTGGGCTTGCTTCTTTGAAGAAAGCCTAGATAGTTGGGCCACAAAATTAATGTCCAGTTATGTCCTAGTAGATTTTCCTCACAGTATATGATCTTTATGAAAAACAGAAGCGCTTTCTCTCAAGCATCTGAAACTCTCTTTTAAATTCCAGATATTAATGAATGTGAACAGCCAGGGCTCTGCGGTCTTCAGGGGGAGTGTCTGAACACAGAGGGCTCTTTCCACTGCGTCTGTGAACAGGGCTTTTCCATCTCCGCAGATGGCCGTACATGTGAAGGTAAGATAAACCATCGGAAACCTATCATTAATGTGTGATAAAGTAGCGAGGAGATTGCTTTTCTACTTATACCAGCAAAGGCTCTGAAAACGCTCAGCAGAAATTCATAATTCAAGGCCTCAAACTTAGGTCTATCAAGGAGATTCAGGCCAGAAAGCATAGCACGGGAGATGGTGGGATTTACAAATCGGATGATGCAAGGTTATGATGGTGAAAAACACTCACCGATGGTTCCAATACTGGTACTGAATTAACATGGGGAAATGTATGGGAGTTGGGGATTCCAGGTACATGTTAAAGTTAACACCGTGGTACCGTCCTTGCTGTAACGGGCCCTGCCTGTTTTGACTGTGCTTTGTGTACAGCATCTTGATTGTTCTGCTTATTTTTTTAATGGCTTGCTTGATTTCTCCATAGCATTGTGGACAGAGATTTCTTCTTTTCTTTGTTTCTGGTGCCAGTACTTGGACTTGAACTTAGGGCCTAAGCATTGACCCTTAGCTTTTTAGCTCAAGGCAGGGACTCTCCCACTTGAGTCACAGCTTCTACCTTTGGCCTTTTGTTGGTAAGTGGAGATAACTCTCATGGACTTTCCTATCCTATCTGGTTTTGAACAAGGATCTTCAGAGTTCAGGCTCATGAGCAGTAGCTAGTATTATAGGGGTGAGCCACAGGCACCTGTATTGAATGGAGATTTTTCTAGAATTTCTCTAATCTCCTTAGCTTTAAGCTAGTTTATTTTCTTACCTATCAGTATTTATGATAACCTAAAAGGTCATCAAGTCCAAGGCATGAAGAAACCCTTTGCTTCTCATTCCCAATGCAGTCCTTGTATGTGTGCAGGACTACAGAACTGATCTTCTCATGAGATTCACATTCTTGATGATCTAGTGTGGTTTAATAAAGGGAAGAATATCTCATTCAAATCATTTTTAAAGTAAACTGAGAAAGTTCCTACAATCATAATTTCAGAATATAGGTTATTAAAACCCAACCATATTTTAAGAAGTCTTACAGTGAAAGTCTCATTCTAGGCCTAAGATTATTTGCTCTAAGAAATACTGCAACAGGAAGTGTCTGCTGTCCTTGCTAGCACCCAGTGGAGTCACGCCAAGGACCATCAACCAGGTTCAGCTGAAACCAATTATTCTATTGGGAGGAATAAACTGATCTTATAAAAAGCAGGAGATTGTTGAAATTACTCTCCTGCTGAGCAGACAAAACATGGAAGCCAGATTTTGGCTTTGAGTGGAGGAGAGATAGAAGAGGGTGGGGTCCAAGCACACAGAATGAGGGGGGATTGGAAGGAGTCAGAAGTTGGGAAATGGAGAAAGGCAGCATAATAATGTGGGCGATGAGAGATTTACAAGGGATCCATGCTCCAGTGGTTCCCATTTTATGTGAAGTTTATATTTAGAGCTCCAAGACTAGAGCTTTTAGAAAAGACACTGCATGAAGGCATACATGCTTATGGCGCGCTCCTCCGGCCATGGAGCATGCTAACCTCAGTCACCAATGGAGCAGGTTTGGAGAATCCCCACATTGCACACAGACACAGGTTTGCTCTAAGTCATGGGTGGGCAAAGTCCTCCACTGAGAAAGTGCCAGTGACAATGGCTGGTGGGTTGTGCCATCAAAGGCTATATTCAGAAAAAGTAGGACATTGTGCCAAGTGCTCACTCATCAAAGCTGTTGTTCTTGACAAATATACCACATGCACATTTATTTTGTCTTTTGTACTTACCCGTTTTTTTTTAGTATTGTAACTTCCTAAAAGACTAGAGCCCACCACTGGACAGTTATAAAATTGCTCTAATGTAATTACAGCTCTAATTTTGCTAGTCATTGACTTGGCAAAGACTTGTATTTTTTTAAAAAATGTGCTTTTAGAAAACTGCTAATGCTTTGTAAGTTGCTGGGCTCGTTGAGTTTGCTGTCTTTGATATGGGGCTAATGTGATCTTATTTCAAAAACTAGTCAATTTTACAAGTAATAAAATAGGTCATTTAGAATCTTGTGTGGATCTATGGTAATGTAATAAGAAATCTGCCTAGTTGTTAGGGATGTTATTCTCTTTCTCGAATAAGTTGTACAGTGAGTCCTCTCTCTCTCTCTTTTGGTAGAGCTTAATCCAATATACTAAATTGGTCCAGATTTTCTTTTGTTGGACTTAGCCTGCAACTTAGGGCTCTGGTGCATTGTCCTGATTCTACCCCTGGCTGTGGTGTAAGACAGAGCCAGCTCATGTGATCTGGATTTAGCAACAACGCTGGTGTGCACAGTACTTGAATTCCTACTGAGAAGTGGCTGGTACCCTGATCACATTTCCCATTCACTAGCTTCCTTCTGAACCACTGGTTAAACCAACTATGTTGATGCTGGTGCCAACCTAAACATCCCAATGAGGGTGAGGGACCCCAAGACAGCAGAAGGAAGGGGCTTTCCCAACTTCCTAGGGCTTGGAAGTTCTCAGCATCTGGTCATAGTTCCTGAACCATGATGAAGAGGCAGGCTCTGTGTATAATCTGCCATGGCATGGTTGGTTCTACAAAGGAAGAGGAGTCCCTCTGCTTCCTTCCTTGCTCTTATTATCATATGGCGTCGAAAAGGTGAGACCCTTGCTTGTTTCTCCCATATGAGAAAAAGAACAGTGTTATTTGAAGCTTTGGTGGAGTGCGAAATTGAAGGGGGTGAGCAGCTTCTTGTCATTCATTTCCTGAAATATTTACTGCATGCCTACCTAGTACCTGGCACTGTTTTGGAAGCAACACACCACACATACAGTTGTTTGCCAGGTGCTTTTGGCTCGTGCCCATAATTCTAGCTACACAGTGGGCTGAGATCTGAGAATAGTGGATTGAAGCCAGTCAGGGCAGTCAAATCCAAGAAAAAGTACAACAAAAAAACAGAATAGAGGCATGGCTCAAATAGTAGAGCCCAGCTGTGAGTAAAGCAAGAACATAGAACCCTGAGTTTAAGCTCCAGTACCAGAACACACACACACACACATACACACACACACACACACACACACACACACACACACACACAGAGTATTTTTGTCCCAGTGTCACCTGCAATGAATGAAAGGAACCAGGATTGTATAAATAATATAAATGGGATATTGAATGCATTTACATTCAAACAATACAGTTGCCCTTTCTAGATAGAGGTGAGTGCAGGATGTAACACACTGATATGCAGCATATAATACAATGCACAAGTTGTTTTCTCCAACCTCACAGCTGCATGTCAGCATTGCAGGGAACAAAACTGTTTTGTTTGGCAGCCTCCCCTGTGCTTGCCTATGGTGTCCGAGTTACCCATCTCTGCCACTTTTTATTCCGCTTTTTGCCAGAGCTTTAATCTAGTGTATAAAAAGAAACGTTTCCTGCTTTCCTTCACTCTCTCACTGTGTTTCCTCCTATTTTTTCTTTACGCATTTATTTACACATTCATAATTATTCGATGTGTCTACTTTTCCCTTTTTTTAACGTGGAATTTTAGTTCACATGAGGGATTTTTGTACGTTGCCGTGGGTTTGGCTTCTTCTTCAGAACATGTGGGAGAGGAGAGAAACAGGAGGCAGTCAGGCTTCAAGGGCCAGGTCACCTCACCCGTCCCTGGCCCCTCAGGAGACACCACCGGGTCCCTGATGTCACATCATTTCTGTCTCAGACTGTCTTGCACTCAGCTTGAAGCAACTCTGCTCTTTCATCAAGTGTCCAGACTGAGAGTTTGTGTCCCATTGGAATTGAGTCGCTCCAGTCTACTCACATGATAGAGCAGCCATATTGATCTCAGCGGGTTTCCAAGGGAGTCAGCAACATCGCTGGGTGTGGGGAGCACCAGTGGCCTAGGGGACCCAGACATTCCTGGTTATTGTGGCTAATTGGATCTCCAAATCATGTGCAAAAATCATGTCCAAAAGCCCTGTGTTTTTGAAAGCATTCTCATTCATTCATTCTACAAAAATGTATTCATTAAGCATGGACTGTGTGCCAGTCACTGTCCTAAGCCCTGGGGTTATGTCAGTCAAAAACAACCACAATAAAGAACTCCAGTTTCTTGGGAGAAATAAACTAATAGGTAAGTAAAAAAGTATGTTAGAAACTGTAAATCCCAGGAGAAAAGGAAAATGTAGCATATAATAAGGGGACTGTTGCCTGGGCAGGAAAGTCTGTGAGACTCTTATCTCCAATAAACCACCAGAAAACCAGAGGTAACACTGTTGTTTAAGTGGTAGAGCGCTAGCCTTGAGCTGAAAAGAGCTGAGGGACAATGTTCAGGCCCAGGGACAGCATTCAGGCCCAGAGTTCAAGCTCCATGACCAACAAAAAAAAAATGAGGGGACTGTTAAGGATAGAAAAAGAGAGAGAGAAAGTGAGAGAGAGAGAGAAAAGCTGGTAGGAAATAAACTATAGTGATCAGAATTGGCTCTCTTCCTCTATAAGTAGATTTAAAATAATATTACAGTATTACAAGATATATTACAATTTGTATTTGAGTTAAAAATATATATCCAGGTACTGGTGGCTCATGCCTATAATTCTAGTTACTCAGGAGACTGGGATCTGAGGATAGAGATTCAAAATGAGTTCATGCAGGAAAGTCTGTGAGATTCTTATCTCCAAGTAACTACCAAGAAGCCTCAAGTAGAGCTGTGGCTCAACTAGTAGAGTGCTAGCCTTGGCCAGAAAAACTAAGAGATAGCACCCAGACTCTGAGTTCAAGCCCCAGTGCCACTGGCACACACACACATATTCACACACATACACATGCATGTACATGTGCTATAAGAAGTGCCTCTCATTCACAAAATGGTCTTCTGCTGGCTAAGTGGTAAATCTGTCTTTTAGTAGACAAAAGCATGAGATGGCCAGCAGAAAGTAGTCTCCCCATGGCCAGCATGAATCCTTTTATCCAGACTGGGGAGTGAAAATTGAGTGAGTACAAATGAAAGGTGAGGCCCAGTGCAGACCATGGATTTTGGTTGATAG